GCCTTAAATAGGAGCGCGCACCTCTGCGCACCTGCGCTGTTAGTTCTAAAACAGTAGCTTTTGAGATCACCATAATTGGCAGACATGGTGAATACATGATGGGGAACCACGCCAGAAACAGGCACTTGCGCTGTCACTGAGTTCTAAAACTGAACTTCAAGTGCTCACCATAATTGGATGTCAAAGCAAGCTAACGATAGGAAACTGCGCCTTAAATAGGAGCGCGCACCTGTGCGCACCTGCGCTGTAAGTTCTAAAACAGTAGCTTTTGAGATCACATAATTGGCAGCATGGTGAATTGATGGGGAACCACCAGAAACAGGAGCGCGCGCCGTCACTGAGCTAAAACTGAACTTCAAGTGCTCATGGTGTCAAAGTGCACTAACGATAGGAAACGACTTAAATAGGGTGCGCACGCAGCTTTTGAGATCACCATTGGCAGTTGGTTAATAACGCCAGAAACAGGAGCGCGCGCCTCTGCGCAGCTGCGCTGTCACTGAGTTCTAAAATAAAACCTCATGCGGTCACCATAAGTGGCAGCCATGGTGAACCGTGCCAGGAATAGGAGCGCGCACCTGCGCTGTCACTTTGTTCTAAACAGAAGCTCATGTAGTCACCATAATTAGCTGTCATGTTGAACACATGATGGGGAACCTTGAAAGAAAAAGGAACGCACACCTGTGCGCACCTGCACTGTCACTTTGTTCTAAAACAGAACCTCATGTAGTCGCCATAATTGTCTGTTGTGGTGAATACATCATGGGAAACCGTGCCAGAAATAGGAGCGCGCGCTTGTGCGCCACTGTTCTAAAAATGAAACTTTTGCAGTCACCATAATTGGCAGTCATGTTGAACACATGATGGGGAGCCATGGAAGAAATTGGAACGCGTATGCTCCTGTGTTGTCACTGAGTTCTAAAGTAGAACCTTGTGTGGTCATCATAATTGGTTCAACAACCATGCCAGGAATAGGAGCGCGCACCTGTGTGCACCTTCACTGCCACTGAGTTCCAAAATAGAACCTTGTATGGTCACCATCATCATCAGCAATCATTTTGAACACATGATGGGGAACCGTACCAGAAATAGGAGCGCGCACCTACGCTATCACTTTGTTCTTGAACAAAACCACTTGTAGTTAATATAAATGGTGGTCATGGTGAACAAATGATGGGGAACCACACCAGGAATAGTAGCACACATCTGTGTGCACCTTCACTGTCACTGAGTCCTAATGTAGAACCTTATGCGGTCACCAAAATTGGCATTCAAGGTGAAGACATGATGGGGAACCATGCCGGAAATAGGAGCGCGCACCTGTGCACAACTGCGCTGTTACTTTGTACTAAACACAACCTCATGTAGTCACCATAACTGGCTGTTGTGGTCAATACATGATGGGGAACCATGCCAGAAATAGGAGCGCACACCTGTGTTGTCACTTTGTTCTAAACAGAACCTCATGTAGTCATCATCATTAGCTGCCATATTGAACACATGATGGGGAACCATGAAAGAAATAGGAGCATGCACCTGAGCGCACCTGCACTGTCATTGAGTTGTAAAGTAGACCCTTGTGTGGTCACCATAATTGGCAGCCATGGTTGGTGAATCATGCCAGAAATAGGAGCATGCACCTGTGTGCACCTTGCTGCCACTGTGTCCTAAAATAGAACCTTGTGCGGTCACCATCATTGGTGGTCATGGCGAATACATTATAAGGAACCACGCCAGGTACAGCATCGTACCGTGTACTTGTTCACTGTCACTGTGTTCCAAAATAGAACCTTGTGCGGTCACCATCATTGGTGGTCATGGCGAATACATTATAAGGAACCACGCCAGGTACAGCATCGTACCGTGTACTTGTTCACTGTCACTGTGTTCCAAAATAGAACCTTGTGCGGTCAACATAATTGGTGATCATGGTGAACACATGGTGGGGAACCATGCCAGAAACAGAAGTGCGCGCCTGTGCTGTCACTTTGTTCTACAACAGAACCTCATGTAGTCACCATAACTGGCTTTTGTGGTCAATATATGATGGGGAACCATGCCAGAAATAGGAGCGCGCACCTGTGTGCATGTGCACCATCAGTGCTAAAAAAGAAGCCTTTGCAATCACCATAATTGGTAGTCATGGCAAACACATGATGTAGTCATCATCATTAGATGCCAATTTGAACACATGATGGGGAACCACTCCAGAAATAGAAGTGTGCACCTGTTCGCAACCTGTGCTGTCACTTTGTTCTACAACAGAACCTCCTGTGGTCACCATAATTGGCTGTCCTGTTATATACATGATGAGGAACCATGCCAAAAAATAGGATAGAGCACCTATGTGCGCTGTCCCTGAGTCCTAAAAACCTTGTGCTGTCCATATAATTGGCTTGCATGGCAAACACATGGTTCCAGAACCGTATCTGAAATAGGAGCACGGACCTGCGCTGTCAGTGTTCCAGAATAGAACCTCATGTGGTCAAATACATCATGGGGAACCATGCCAAAAATAGGATTGAGCACTTATGTGCACGTGCGCTGTCCCTGAGACCTAAAAACCTTGTGCTGTCCCTATAATTGGCTTGCATGGCAAACACGTGGTTCCAGAACCGTATCTGAAATAGGAGCACTCACCTGTGCGCACCTGCGCTGTCACTGTTCCAGAATAGAACCGTATGTGGTCACCATAATTGGCTGTCAAGGTGAACATATGATTTGGAACCATGCCAGGAATAGGAGCACACACGTGTGCACTTGTGCTGTCACGGAGGTCAATAATGGAGCGTAGATGGATGTTTTCTCATCTTCATTTGCAGACCTGTACTGGGAGTATTGGGGAGACAGCGGCACAGCTCAGGTGCAGGGCCCCTCAGAAAAGAAGGCCATCGGCAGCCACAGGGATGTACCGACAGAAGCCTTCAGCTGCAGTTGGTGAACGCCAGATTAAAATACAATTCAGGTGCGAGGTGCCCCTACCTGACCGGAGCACGGCTCTAAGCGATTCGCACAGATGGCGTGCAATGGCTGTGTGTTACCGAGGAGTCATTTGAATTCATTAGCACATTTCGCCTGCGCTCAGCACATTACCTTCATGTGACTAACAAGGAGATGACGCTGAGAAGCCGAGGAATTAAAAATAAGGCAGCAGCTCTGAAATCTGCAAATTTGCTTGAAATAATAAGCGCTTCTTATAGGTGTGACATAGTGACATCGCCACCCGCAGGGCAAGAGGAGATGACAGGTCCTCCTCCGGCACAGCCAGTATTGGCAGCACACAAGCTGTTTTCACCGATGTCACCGAACCATGAAGCCATCACCCCACATGTCACCCCAAGAAAGGAACGCCTTGGATCTGCACATAATAGAACTCATACATAAAATCACATTGTAACAATGTAACACAGTGGTCTGCAAACTGCGGCCCATGGGCTGAATGTGGCCCTTTGCTTGTCTCTACCGGCCCTCAGGGTACGATTCCTCCCACTGATAACAAGGAGGCACCATTTCTTCCACTGGCACCAACTATGGGGCATTTTTTTTCTTCCAATGACACCAATGATGGGGCACAATTCCTCCCACTGATGTAAACAATGAGGTACCATTGCTCCAACTAATATCAAGGATGGGGCACTATACCTTCCACTGACACCAATGATGGGGCACTATTGCTCCCACTGATACCAATGATGGGGCACTATTCCTCCCACTGATACCAATGATGGGGCACTATTCCTCCCACTGATATCAATGATGGGGCACTATTCCTCCCACTGATACCAATGATGGGGCACTATTCCTCCCACTGATACCAATAATGGAGCACTATTCCCCCCACTGATATCAATGATGGGGCACTATTCCTCCCACTGATACCAATGATGGGGCACTATTCCCCCCACTGATATCAATGATGGGGCACTATTCCTCCCACTGATACCAATGATGGGGCACTATTCCTCCCACTGACACCAATGATGGGGCACTATTCCTCCCACTGACACCAATGATGGGGCACTATTCCTCCCACTGATACCAATGATGGGGCACTATTCCTCCCACTGACACCAATGATGGGGCACTATTCCTCCCACTGACACCAATGATGGGGCACTATTCCTCCCCACTGACACCAATGATGGGGAACTATTCCTCCCACTGACACCAATGATGGGGCACTATTCCTCCCAATAATACCAATGATGGGGCACTATTCCTCCCACTAATACCAATGATGGGGCACTATTCCTCCCACTGACACCAATGATGGGGCACTATTCCTCCCACTGACACCAATGATGGGACACTATTCCCTCCACTGATACCAATGATGGGGCACTATTCCTCCCACTGACACCAATGATGGGGCACTATTCCTCCTACTGACACCAATGATGGGGCACTATTCCTCCCACTGATACCAATGATGGGCACTATTCTTCCCACTGACACCAATGATGGGGCACTATTCCTCCCACTGACACCAATGATGGGGCACTATTCCTCCCACTGACACCAATGATGGGGCACTATTCCTCCCACTGACACCAATGATGGGGCACTATTCCTCCCACTGATACCAATGATGGGGCACTATTCCTCCCACTGACACCAATGATGGGGCACTATTCCTCTCCACTGACACCAATGATGGGGCACTATTCCTCCCACTGATACCAATGATGGGGACACTATTCCTCCCACTGACACCAATGATGGGGCACTATTCCTCCCACTGACACCTATGATGGGGCACTATTCCTCCCACTGACACCAATGATGGGGTACTACTCCTTTTTACATTGAAGACAAAGAGAGGGGAAAAAATGAATCAAGAAATACACTGGAATGTGTAAAAAATCATCAAAAATGCACCGGAATGCTCCAAAGACGCGTCAAAAATGCACATCAGAAATGCATGCGGAACGCATCTGGACTGTTTCTATAGTGTGAACCGGCCCTAAAGATCACCCTATGTAAACAGTGCTGGGAGTACTCACGTTTTCACGTAGGGGTCTGAGAAGCCGTTGACATCCATAGCGGCGAGGTGAGCGCAGCGTACGATCCCCACCACCAGTCCGCCTCGCTCAGTGCTGTACATCAGTGACAGGAGGATCCTCCCCCTCTCCTCCAGCTCCCACTCCTGACAGCGCTCCAGCTGTGGACACAAAGCACAGGTCAGTGGACTACGTATGAACGGGAGCGATACGTAAACTGGGAGCTTCCCACATTGTACATTAGAAGCTGCAGCAAGTCAGATAGAGCTCCGCCTCATTTTCTATTTGGGGGACATCCAGCATCATCTAGCTCTTTCCTACCCAGCCTGACCCACCCCTTTCATTGGATTTCAGTTTTTTCAGCCATGGAGACTTTGCAACACGTGTGGGTGTCACTACACGCAGTACAGCCTGCCTAGGAACGCCCACTCCTCCAGACTGACATCCACCCATCAAGGCATTTTGATATTTGTATAACCCATCCCAAGAACCAGCCCACTGCTTGTATTGAGAGGATTACGGAGGCAGGGTGCTGTGATGTTGTTAGCCATAATATGCCTGCATTGCGTAGAGATGCACAGAGACCCAGTGATAATGTCATTGGATCTAAAATGAAGTATGTCATTAAAATAGAAATGTTTTATTCATAAATGTAATTGGCATGTTGATTAGAGGTGAAAACAGGATCCAAGGAAGGCAGAATTAAAGTACAAGGTGGTATCAAAATGTTTTGAGGCTGGTTTTGTAACAGACGGCTGCAGGCACAGTCACAGGGAGCACCAACCTTCATAAGTCAATGTGCCAAAAGACATCGTCCTGTGTACATCGGGAGCTGTGCAACTGGCGCTATTCTGACCACGTGCGTTACCATGTCTGCAACTTCATCATGGACAGCAAGTTAGAACAAAGAGAAATCGTGGAAATCTGCCTGAAACCCGTACACCCAAGTAATGATCCTCGACATGAAGGAGGGGTCATCCACGGCACGCTGACAGAGTTCTTGGCAGACTTTGATGCGGTGTTCCTTCTGCTCCTGAGTCAGCACGGCACATGTTCACATCACACGTGAGGATTACCTGGTCTGTTCCGTATGACACCCCGACAACGGCAGCCATGTTGTAGATTGTTCTCCAACGATCGTCATGCACAAGTTGCCAAATGGTTTTCGACATTTTCAGGGGTTGAGCTCATTGAAGGTCCTCCTGATCTCTCGTCGTCTTCCAGTGATGTTCTTCCGCTCTTGAATCGCGCTCGCCACTCAAATCACCTCCAACGACTCATCGCAGCATCGCCATAAACTTGCCAAATCACGTCATACGTCTCTTTCGCAGACTCGCCCAGTTTCACGCAGAATTTCACGTTCGCTCTTTGTTCTAACTTGCTGTCCATGATGAAATAGCAGACGCGGCAACGCACGTGGTCAGAATATATTCTTCAGGTTTTTATTAATATATAAAAAAGTCATTTTAACATATATTTGTAAACGCATTCCAAAAATGTAGATTTGTATTTTTTAACTAGTTGCCGCCCGGCCTATAGCCAGATTGCGGCCGAGAGAACACCTCGTCCCTCCGGGTGGACGCCATGTGGCTGATCAATACTGATCACTTTCCCAAAGTAGTACAATGTTACCATGGTAACATTATAATAATTTGGTCATAGTGAAATATGAAAAAATAAATCTTAAAAAAAGAGAAAAAAATGTAATAAAAAATAAATAAAAAAATGATCAATTTTTTTTTTCGTACTGTCACCAGTCAGTGTCCCTGATCACCGCCATGCCAGTTATATGATGACGCTGTACTGCACTGGTGACAGTATGTAAAAGAAAAAATTGTGAAAATCATTTTTTTAATTTCTTCATTTTCCAAAAAATTGACAAAAAAATTACAACTTCAAAAAACTCGCCATGCCTGTTATGAAGTACGTCGGACTGTCTACTCTGCAAAAAGGGGTCATTTGGGGGATATCTGTCCTGTCCTGACATTTGGGGGATATCTGTACTGTCCTGACATTTGGGGGATATCTGTACCGTCCTGACATTTAGGGGATATCTGTACTGTCCTGACATTTAGGGGATATCTGTCCTGTCCTGACATTTTGGGGATATCTGTACTGTTCTGACATTTGGGGGATATCTGTACTGTTCTGACATTTGGGGGATATCTGTCCTGTCCTGACATTTGGGGGATATCTGTACTGTTCTGACATTTGGGGGATATCTGTCCTGTCCTGACATTTGGGGGATATCTGTCCTGTCCTGACATTTGGGGGATATCTGTACCGCCCTGACATTTGGGGGATATCTGTACTGTCCTGACATTTAGGGGATATCTGTACTGTCCTGACATTTGGGGATATCTGTACTGTTCTGACATTTAGGGGATATCTGTACTGTTCTGACATTTGGGGGATATTTGTCCTGTCCTGACATTTGGGGATATCTGTACTGTTCTGACATTTGGGGGATATCTGTACTGTCCTGACATTTGGGGGATATCTGTACTGTTCTGACATTATTGGACCTCAAGAAATGAGATTGGCTGTCAGTACTTCAGGATCGATCAATTTTCAGATCTATACCATAGTTTGTGAACTCTATAACTTTCCTACAGACTAAATCATAAATACTAATTCGGGTTATTTTCACCAAAGACATGTAGCAGAATACATTTAGGCCTAAATTTATGAAGAACAATTATTTATTTGCAAACTTTTATAATAGAAACAAAGAAAAACATGGTTTTATTTTTCAAAATTTTTGGTCTTTTTTTGTTAATTTAGCAAAAAATAAAACCCCCAGTGGTGATTACATACCACCAAAAGAAATCTCTAGTTGTGTGAAGAAAATGATACAATTTTAGTTTGGGTTCAGTGTTGTATGACCGCGCAATTGTCATTCAAAGTGTGAGAGTGCTGAAACCTGAAAATTGGCCTAGACAGGAAGAGGGGTAAAAGTGCCCGGTATGGAAGGGGTTAAAGACATACAGTATATTTGAAATGTATTTTTAAAAATATTTTTCATATATTTTTAATAGAAATGTATTTCAACATGCAGTGTATATATATATATTTATTGAAATATATTTTGAAATATAGTGAATACGGCCAAAATTGCAGCATTTCAAATGCATGTCAATATATTTGGGAAGAATATTTTTAAAATATCTTTGAAGTATATTTTTCTTCCATGTGGGAACGATTGGGGACAGTTATCACCCCATATCAGGAAGCGCCTAAAGAAAAGCCTATTCACCGTCCGTGAAAAGGATTCCTCCTCCTCGCCTGGACCGGCACTTCTTTATGTGCTAAATGCTTATTTCATTTGCTGCAATCAGATCCACCTGCGCAAATGCAGGCAGAGGAGGCTGAGGACGCACGCACACGTAGATTTATTGTGTGGGTATGTACATGCAGTGGATGCTGCCACAGGATGTACAGAGCGCCGCGTGCGCTGTCAAGGCCGTCGCTGGAAGCGTCGTATTATAGATCTGTGCTGGGTGCTCAGCGCCGCGTGTCCCCAGCCCCCGCAGGTGGGGATAATATGTGGGAGAGTAGAGAGAAATGTCACCTCACAGTCACAGGGAGGATGCGGGGGATCGAGGAGGTAAGCGGTGATCGGGGAACAAGGGATGAATACATCTGAAGATAATGAGAACGGAGAAAACACAAAAAAAAGCAAAAAGAAAAGGATGAATAATAGAGGCAAAATAAAGGGAGGAGGGGAGGGGGGGGGGGGAGGAGGAAGCAGCATTGGAAATTGCAGGAAGATGTTACAGTACCAATGCAGATGTCTCCAGTCTGAGGCTTCTTGGTTCACACTGAGTCGTATGTTGGGCAGCCCATTGAAATGAATGCAGTAACATTGTATCAATGTAACATATGGATACAATGTATTATTAAACAAAGCCTGCAAGTGGTACAGTGCCTTGAAAAAGTCTTCCTCCCCCTTCAAATGTCCTCCATGTTGTCATGTTACAATGTATTCCCCTCCCCCTTGAAATGTCCCCCATGTTGTCATGTTACAATGTATTCCCGCACCCCCCCTGAAATGCCCCCCATGTTGTCATGTTACATTGTATTCCCCCCCCCTGAAATGTCCCCCATGTTGTCATGTTACAATATATTCCGCTCCCCCCTGAAATGCCCCCCATATTGTCATGTTACAATGTATTCCCGCACCCCCCCTGAAATGCCCCCATGTTGTCATGTTACATTGTATTCCCCCCCCCCTGAAATGTCCCCCATGTTGTCATGTTACAAATATTCCTGCTCCCCCCCTGAAATGCCCCCCATGTTGTCATGTTACAATGTATTCCCGCTCCCCCCCTGAAATGTCCCCCATGTTGTCATGTTACAATGTATTCCCGCTCCCCCAAAATGTCCCCCATGTTGTCATGTTACAATGTATTCCCGCACCCCCCCTGAAATGTCCCCCATGTTGTCATGTTACAATGTATTCCCGCTCCCCCCAGAAATGCCCCCCATGTTGTCATGTTACAATGTATTCCCGCGCCCCCCCTGAAATGCCCCCCATGTTGTCATGTTAAAATGTATTCCTGCTCCCCCCCTGAAATGCCCCCCATGTTGTCATGTTACAATGTATTCCCCCTCCCCCCCGAAATGTCCCCCATGTCGTCATGTTACAATGTATTCCCCCCCCCAAATGTCCCCCATGTTGTCATGTTACAATGTATTCCTGCTCCCCCCCTGAAATGTCCCCCATGTTGTCATGTTACAATGTATTCCTGCTCCCCCCCCTGAAATGTCCCCCATGTTGTCATGTTACAATGTATTCCTGCTCCCCCCCCTGAAATGTCCCCCATGTTGTCATGTTACAATGTATTCCTGCTCCCCCCCTGAAATGTCCCCCATGTTGTCATGTTACAATATATTCCTGCTCCCCCCCTGAAATGTCCCCCATGTTGTCATGTTACAATGTATTACCACTCCCCCCCTGACATGCCCCATGTTGTCATGTTACAATGTATTTATCGGGATTGGATGTGATGGACCGACACAAAGTGGCCCATAATTGTGAAGTGGAAGGAAAATGAGAAATGGTTTCCAACATTTGTGACCAATAAATCCATGAAAAGTGTGGCGGCATTTGTATTCAGCCCCCCGGAGTCAATACTTTGTAGGACCCCCTTTGTCTGCA